CTCTGATGGTTTGCAGTCAACATTGCAAGTACTTACAAGAGCTAGTATCAGGCCTGTGAGTGCTTGCAGGGATTCAAACCATCACTATCATATGAACCAGCTGTAAGCCACAGGAGGAGCTAAAGGCTGCTCAGCCATGCCTAACCTCACAACAGCAATATGAGTCTTTTTGGTGGATGCTTTGTGTTCCTGATTTAGCATCTACTTCCAGTCCTTCTTTGGTGCCTTGATTCCTGTTTGTTCCTGACCCTTCCTGTGCTTTTGCTTTTTCTATAGCGTTAGTGCCTGTCTCTCAAATCTCCTTGCCTCTGCCATGTCTGGTCTTCTGTCTGTCTCCTGTTAGACCTGACTTTGCCTTTTCTTCTGACCATACCACTTTCCTCTAAGACCTCTATTCACCTCCATTATCCTTGCAGCTAGTGTTCCAGTTGTAGACACCTGCTGTTTTTGTCTCAGAGCTGATACAGCAATTATCATGGATTAATGTAGAACTCTGAAATACCTATCTTCTTCAAGTTCTCCTTTAAAGAATCTATGCAGTGAAGTTCCATTTATGAATGTGTTAAGCCTAATATTATAAAAGATTAGCAAAACTATTATTTACTTTGAAAGACTTCCTCCACTTGTGTTCAGTTTCAATTATTTCCTACTAAATATGCAGAATATTGTACCCCAATTCAGCATGACATGATGTGACTGCTTTCTTGACTGATCCACAAGTCACTGGCCCCCCATTCACACTTCATGATGCATAACTAAGGCTTGGGTGCTTCACAGGAATGAGAAAGTGCACTTCCTGAGCAGTGTTCACCAATTCCACTTTGCATCAAGTTGCTCAAAGAAATAGGAATGCCCCATTCCTGAGTAGTTTTTTTTTTCTTTTAAGGCGCCTGAATCTGGAATTCCTGGTTGATGGTAGACAAGAACCTAGATTTAGAACCCATGGAATGTGATTTAGTTAAACAACTCATAAACAGCTATTATCTCTGAAATGGGTCTCTGTGTCTTGAGCCATTAACTATATACCTCAACCCATCAGCTATATCTTCCAGTGAAGTGGCAACTGTCTCAATGAATTGCAGTTTTACTACTCATGAGTCAAAGCATATGCCAAAGCAGACAATGAAAGTGGAAAGCGTATTTTGTACAGTGTAAGTCCTCCAGCTGTCAAGCACATGATTTGGTATTTATATGGGAATTGCTTTGGAACTATCTAATTTGATGCTTACATTGGAACTGTCAGGTCTGATCAGTGGGTTTTCTTGAATTGCTGCTAATTGCCCCCTGCCCTCTTTCCCGCTTCTGTTCTTGATATTGACTGAAAGCAGCAAACAACCAAATATATAACAACTAGATATTTGAACCTTAGCTTATCAGGGTCCCCATTCCTACTGGAACTACAAGCCAATGAAATAGAAGCAATAGTTCTTGCATGATCCACAGTTTTTCAAATTTGATTTGGAAGCCATGCTGTTGTAATTAGGCTTGCTGAAAATGTATATGCCAAAAGTAATTGAAGAAGTTCAGAAATGCAAAGTGAAAAAAGGGCCTCAGACTCCAACTTTAGTAAACATTCCAAGCACTCCATGAACTGTCCTGGATGCTTATATCACTCTGATGCAGAAATACTTCATTCTTGTATGTATGGTTTTGCAAATAGTAATACCATGTTTTAAAAATCAGAAAATGGATGCTTTGTACATTGAGATAATGCCAAAGTTTTCTCCTTGTATTATTACTGAAGATAAAATTAGTACATTGACATGCCTTGAATTTTAAGTTTCATTTTCTTGCACCAGATTGAAATAAAAATAGGGGACTAGATAAAGATTAATTTGATGTCAGATGGGACATTTGCTCTTTAATTAGATTTCTGTATGCCTAGCTGGGGGTTTTGTGTGCAACTATAGCAAGTAGTAAAAAGCCTGCAGCAGAACCTAAACTGTGATCCTCATCTCTATACTTTACTGGGAACTAATTTCATTTCCTGCCTGTCTGGAAAGGTATTTTCAATAGACATCAATGTTTTTGTCTTCAGAACTGATTTATTCATCAATCTCAATGTGATGTTTTTTAAACCTTTAAATTACATCCAAATCCTAAAGCATCTGTTTATTTCACAAGGAAATTGAAAATCTGTCTGTGTGATATCATACAAAGATTTCCCCTTAAGGTTATAAGGACAGTTGACAGATATTAATGATTTTCCCTTCTTTTTAACCACATTCAGAAACATAGTGTGGAGGAAAATGGTAGGGGAAGAAACAGAGGCAAAAATGTCAAAGAATGTACTGAAAAGAATGTACACTAGCATGACAAAGAACTTACTAAATAAAAGGTGAATCAGAAAAATAAATGAAACTGCAATTTCTTAAAAGTCCCCAGTACAATCATATTGCTGAAGAAAATAGCTTTTATACTATTCTAAATAGCATTAATCCATGTATTTAAAACAGCACAAGATGACCAGTGCAAGTTTTTTCAGCACTAGGGTTCAGACAACAGAGCACCATACTCAAAGAATGAGTAGGGATTCAGTATTAGTTGTAGTTACACAACTAACAACAACAACAATAACAAACATGTTGAGTAATGTTGCCTGAAGCCAATGGAGATAACAGGCCCACAGTTTACAATGCAAGAACAAACCATGGATTTGCCATAGCTTTTAGTACAGTTGCAGATCAGATGACATGATAGTTCACATTTTAACAACCATGTCATGTTTCTATAACAAGTAGTAAAGAGCCATTGTGGTGCAATGATTAGAGTTTTGAACTCTCTAGGTCAGGGGTCTCATACTCGGGGCCTGCGGGCCAATTGCGGCCCATGGGATGATATTTTGTGGCCCCCACTAGATATCAAAGTTTAGTGATAGTGCAGCCCGCGCGTTTTTCTCACACGCACCTGCATGAGTTGTTACCCAGGGTGCAATGTTCCCTCTAACCTGCACGCCAGGATGGGCAGGACACAGGGGAGGGGCCCTGCGGCCTTCAAAGCGCCGGCGGCGCCCGGGCCGGCCTCTGGGAGCGACGTGGGATGAGCGGCCCACCACCACTGCGGTGGTGGAATACTTGATACGGCCCAGCCTCACCCAGACCCTACTTCCAGCGGCCCCCAGGTAAGTTGAGTTTGAGACCCCTGCTCTAGGTGACTTTCGGCTAAGCACTGACTCTCAGTCCAACCTGCCACTGTGGAGATAAAATGGAAAAAGGGAGGCTTGTGTAAGCCACGATGAGTACTTTGCAGGAAAAGGATGGGCTATCCCATACTCAACCCTTGACTGTAGATTATCACTGAAGTCCTGATTTAAAGTCACCAAAACAAACCAATTCTATCAGTTTTTATTTCCATCATAAGCATGTTTTTCATAGAGCTTTAATGGATGCTGTTTGTTTTTTCAGGACTAAATGACCTCAAAATATGTTTAATCACAGCAAGAAGTAGCTCACATCAATGTATAATTGTTGTAAATATCCATCCCTTCTATCCCTGGTTGCTGCTAAGTGCAGAGGGAACACTCAGATCTGATGACAGAGCAAGATGACATCATCATCCCTGCTAATTAAAAAATCATGATGCTCTGAGCCTGTGAGCCCTGGTCTCACAGCACTGTACAGCAGTCCTGCCTTGCATTTGGAGTATCTCTGTTACCAAGAATCACACAGCAATACAAACTCTGGCAGTCATATTCCAGTAACTGTGTTCTCTGGAATATATAACCAAATGCATCTGGTTTACAAACAAACAAACCAACAAACCAACACACACTTTATTTTCCCTTTTGTTTTCAATGACCACAAAATTCCTGCATAAATGTCAATAAGTCTACGAGTATTACAAGAAAGTTGGTTAAATTTGTTAGACTTCTACTAGGCTGACTTTTGCTAATGAAGCTCATGATTTAGAAGGTAATATCTGACACATGACCTGTGTGAAACTTAAGACAGAGGCAATCAATCTATGTGAATGTGCAACATAATGGATTCATTATACCATATGTAAGTTAAAGCACATTGAAAAAATAATTGGGGAAACCTACAACCATTGAGATGCTAAATGAACTGTCACTGTTTAGAAAAAATATTTGGTCACTTTAGTGTACACTAAATGAAAACATCTGAATAAGGCATAGTGTCATAGCTGGGTTCACAAAAGTCCACCAACAGGATATAACTGAGATTAAAGTATATGTTCATGGTATGACATAAATTGATGGTAAACATTTTCTGTTCTGTTAAAAAGGGAAAAAGATGAAAGGAAAAGTATGTGTTTTTTAACCTGTGGAACTGAGAAATAAGTCCTTTGATGTGCTATTAAAAACAACACAGTTGACTGATGCTCATTTGAACACCCTTATGTGCAACTGAACACAAGAAAAAATAGACAGCAGGTCAAAATTATGAATTGTATGAGCCATGGTTTTAATCATCATGGCTTTTTCAGTGTATTGTTTGTATAGATGGCAGAAGTGGTGAAAATGCAGGGTTTTAAGTTCCCCTTTTCTATGCAATGACTTGTACCTTTGTAGATGAAACAGACAAACTAATTACAGCTGTGAAGTATGCATTGGGACTATAGTTAAGTAGCCTGATACATCCAGTAGGTCCCAGTTTCAATCCCTGGCATCTCACTAGAATGACATAAAACTCCATGCAAGGGCCTGGAGAGGAAATAGTTCTTGAGTAGCTGCCTGAATGGTCTCAGCAGAAGTAAAGGTCCTTTGTTCAACAAAATCATGAAGTGGCTGCAAGCTTAGAAAAGAGCAGGATCCCTCATGCTGGCCCACAGGCTGTACACACACACACTGGAAACTATGATATGGTTAGGGGGAAGAGGTACCCCCTGGCCTTTCTCCTATTGGAAGAAGCTACCCTTACGGACTATAAGCTGCAGCTGCATATATAATCTAGATTTTAGAAAGTAGAAGAGGAGAAAATTACACAGTTATCACTGAAGTTTCAGGACTGTAAGAGATTAAAAACTTAAGTAAGACTTACTTGTTGCATTGTAGGCGAATGCAAAGCAGACTGGACCTGCATTGGTAGCTGGTTCCCAATGGACTGCTGCATTGTAAGTGGCTGGTGTTGTTGTAAACTTAGGTGCGGGTGAATTGGAGGACTCATCTGAAGGGATGGAGGTGGAGATACAGCCATGTTGGCTATGGAAACAGTCACAGGCATTTGGTTGTTAGGCTTAGGTGCTATGTTCCTTGGAATATTGGGATGTATGGCTGTTATGTGAGGATTCATCCCTGCTTGTTGGTGATAATGGGAACTTAGATACAAGGCTGAATGAGGTTGTGTAGATCCATGGAACACTGACTGCTTTGCATTTATCATCTGAGGTTGTTGGGATACCTTAACATCCACAGGTTCGTTGTAGCTCTGTTAGGGAGGGGAAAAAAGGAGAAAATACTTGAATGCTGATGTGTGGCAGCAAGCTGACAGGTGTCATAGCAGACTGCATGTATTGGCTTTTAGCTTGCTCTACTCTACCAGTGACAAGAGAACCACAGCCACCACAATAGAAGCTTCATAATTACAGAACAAAATATATTTTATAAAAAGTATCTGTATTAACTGTATCCTTTCTCCGAATTTAGGCAACACTTACTTCTTTTCAATTTTGGACTGTATTGTCTAGCTTAAGGTGATGCATCAAACAAGTTAGCATGATAATGTTATGACTTAACTCTGAAATTTCTTCAGAACAGCTTAAGGCACAAGCAGACTGGAATGGGAAAAGGTACTGTTATTATATTGTTATTTATTTTATATTGTTAATTTTATATTGTTATTTTTGTATTTTCTTGTATTTTATTTGTGCTGTGAGCTGCCCTGAGGCTTCGGCAAGGGGCGGCATAGAAATGTTTTAATAAATAAATAAATAATAAATACTTCCTCAGGAATTTAGATTCAAAAACATTACGGGCCTACCAATAAGTACTAGGATCTTGAACTGGACCCAAAACCAAACTGGTAATCAGTGCAATTATTTTAAAATTAGCGTGATATGAATAAACCAGAATTTTTCATCAACTGAACCTGCCAAGTCATTTTCAATGGTAACTCCATGTAGAATACTTTATTTATTTATTTATTTATTTATTTATTTATTTATTTATTTTTATGCCGCCCCATTCGCTGAAGCCTCGGGGCGGCTTACAACAATAAATAAAACCACATAAATTAAAATATACATATAGAATAATAATAATAATTTAAAACACACAATATAAAATAAGCCACCCTGGCCAGATAAAATTCAGTAGTATTAACATTTAAAATGTTGCTTAAATAAAAAGGTCTTTGCCTGGCGCCGAAAAACAAATAATGACGGCGCCAGGCGGACCTCTCTGGGGAGCGCATTCCATAACTTAGGCGCCACCGCTGAGAAAGCCCTCCTCCGAGTAGCCACCCTCCTAATTTCTCTCATGGGGGGCTCCCGGAGAAGGGCCTTTCCCGCCGATCTCAGGGGGCGACTGGGCATATATGGATGTAAGCGCTCCTTCAGGTAACCAGGACCCAAGCCGTAATCTACTCAGGAGATTACCAGAGCATGGATAACCTTGGCCCCAAACAATAATTTGAACATCTTTTTTTACCCCTTATAGTGGCAGCACATGGTAGATAGCCATCTAGGACCAGTTTCTAATTTCCAGGTCATTACATTTCAACATCTTGACTCTGGAAAAAAGTCTTGCCAATGCTTCTGGGTCCACTAATGCCCTTTTCTATTTCCTGTCTAGAAAGCAATAGCATCTGCTGACTACTTGTATCATTATAGTTGCAGCAGCAGAAGAAAAGGTATTATTATAGAGTTCTGTCCCCAGACTGTGATGGTGAATGGTCCTATGCCTGATCAGTGCACAATCTTGGAAGCTACCTACACTTGGAGCAGGTCTATCAGCTCATCAGTTTTAGGGCACTATCCCAATAGGCATGTACGGCTAGAACAGAATTAAGTGAACCAGTAAAATTTAACACAAACACAGACTTTTTGGGATAATCTGTAGGAGAAATATTTTCTGTAACAACTTCCATATAACATTTAAAAAATATATTTGCATCAATTTTGCTCAGTTTTCCCCACAGTCATTTCATAGCTGACTTATAAACTAGATGTGCTCACATAAATGCAGAAAAGAGTAAGAGATTAATTCCCAAGGGCTTGCCAGTGGATATGTACCTGAATAATAATTCATCTCGTAGGGAAAAGTTGAATGAATAACTAGTGAAAGGTGAAGCATGCCAGGGAAAAAAAAGATAAAATGTTCCTTGAAAAGAAAGCAGTACTATGTCAAAACAAGGGTTGGAAGATGCATATATGCCCTTATCCTATAACCTCCATGTCACATTTGTTCCATTTACAAGTCAAAATAAGTTTAACATTACTCCAGGCACTCTGGGGTCACTGGAGCCTGTGAAGAACCATTTGTATTCCTTTTGATGTATGCACCATCACCACCAATCAGCCAATATGCACATTACAGAAATTGGTTCATTATGTGCAATGATATGCAATGAGAAAGATGATAACTTCATCTGCCCGAGTCAAACTGAAGTAATGACGGCAACAAAAATGTATTTTCTCCAGTAAACTAAGCAAAATTAAATGGAAATGATAAAGGGAATTCAATTCTCTGTGCATAGGTAGGAATGTGTTCTACCCGCACAAAGGGTGGTATACTAGCACACAGATCCAGAAAAATGGAACACTCAAAAAGGCAACAAAGCAAGAAGTGTAAAAACGTTGCTCTCTTTTATTATAGTGGGACAAAGAAAAGATGCCACATACCAATGGGGTCTCACTATCTTTCTAACTGTAATGGCAAGTGGAATGATTCTTCTCAAACTATAAGGGATTGTTCCACCAAGTCACAGTCTCTGCAGATCTTGCATATGGAAGAGAAATCTCAGTCTACTGACAGTACAATCCTTTACATATCTACTCTGAATTAAGTCCACTGAGTTCAGTTGTAATTATACTAAGGTAAATGTGTATAGAAGTGCAGCCTCAGATATCCTGGTATCATGCTAGGCAGAAAACAATATTTGATCCAGGCTGTATTCTGCTCAAATCCCCCCCTCCCTATTTCTTTAATGACATTGCTTTTTCCTTGTAACGGCAATAAGGTAAGTTTCCTTGCCCATAAGTGCTGTCTATAGTTTTTCATGAGACCGTGAACAGTAGTGCAGAGCAGGAGAAAAAGCAGGAAGTGAGGGATGAGAAGGTGCAGGGGAATGGGTTTCTCAGAGAATGATGGAGAAGGTTGGGATTCAGGCAAAGGGAGTGAAGAATGTGAGTCAGAATCAAGACGTAGGCTGAAAGCAAATTAGGTTTTAGCAGACATTTTAGACTTACTAATAAATGTGGTGGTAAAGGAACTGTTAAATTGACTTGTTCTTTGCTTTTGAAAACAGTCAAATGGGATTAGCAACACGCTCCAGGTGATTTGAGATACAATTTCCATTGGCTCCCAAAGCCAATGGACAGGTACTGTGGCTGCATAGTCCAAAATAACTGAAAAGTACCAGACTGTGTAATCTTACAGCCAGCATGGCACAGTGGTTGAAAGTGTTGGACTAGTTTTCAGTAGATCTGGGTTCTAGTCCCTGCTCAACCATTGGGTTCACTAGGTGACTTTGGACCAGGCATTTACTCTCAGCCTAACCTGCCCCACAGGATTGCTGTTGTGAGAATGAAACAGATCAGGAGAACCTTGTAAAGAATCTTTCCTTGCAAGAGGAAGAAAGCTGGCGCACAGATATAATATAATGATAAATAATACTAATCTCTTTGTAGGTCCCTAGTTGTGTGAGATAAGAATTTCATACAGGCAGAACAAGAGAGACAGGCAAGTAGGCCGTTCTGACAGAGGCTCCTGACAGAGGTTACCCCCAGGGAACATGGTGGGGCATTAACCCTACAGTGCCATCCATCCTTAAAATAGTCCTCTAACAAGGCTGCTGTTCCTCACAGAAGTTGAAAAATAATGCCTAAATTGTATGTGGTCCATATCTGACGCCACATTTTATTGTATGTTGAACAGGCCATTGTGTCTCTTAAATAACTTGAGGTAGGTTTTTACACCCCAAGCTTCTGGAGTTGCCTACACAAACTACTTATAAATATCTGCTCAACAGGTATAGTAACAAATCCTACTGTCAGCCTGAACAAAAAATGCCATGGTAAGCAAGAAAAACTGCTTGTTTTTCCAAAAACAAAACTGCATTTCACAGCATTTTAAATACTGCTGTACAATTTGCTATACAAACTACTTGCAGAAGTAAGGAAAGTTGCAACTAAGGGCAATGCAAAAGCTTAGTCAGTGCTATAAATAATATCATAATCTGAATAGCATGATGTAAATGCTTTGTAATGTGATTTTTTAACATTATTTTTACACATATCAAACAGCTTGGCAGTAGTACCATTGATTTCAATAAGAATGGGAAAAAGGCTTTGAGAAAATTCTAGCAAACTAGGATATGTAGCCTAATAAAACTCATCAGGTCTAGATTAACAACATTCACCTTTTGACTCCCAGTACAAGCCCCCTCCAAATCTAGAGTATTCACATAGCAAATCTATACTTTTCTGGCATGGAAATACTTTCAAGCTGTTTCAATCAAAATATTGATGACTTTGGCATGTACGACTAACTGCTCTAGAACATCAATTCTTACAATAGGTTGCAACAGTAGCAACACCACTGCTGCATCAAAACACTGATATTACAGGCAGAGGCAGTTTTGATGAGGCTCAGCCTCATGTAATAAAGAACATGGGATGTGGTGCTGAAGGTTGTAGTGGAAGAAAGGAAGTGGTGGGGCATCTTGAATCATTGAAAGTACTGTTTTGTTTGCACAAGGCACCTTTGAATTCAAGTTTACCACCCAGCTTTGCTTAGCCATGCAATGAGTATACCACTGCTAATGAGACCGTTCATGCAAAATTAGGCTTCAGCAGTAAAAGACAACTTTGTAAGACAATATCCAGAATTCCAGTTGGTTTTGTATAATAATACTAACCATTTGGCTATATAATAAAGGTTGGCAACTTTCAAGAGCTGGGGAACCCACATTGCCACCCTGGATCCCAGTGGAGGCTGCACCACTGTCCCCCTACCTACCCTGCCACTACACAGCCAAAATCTGGTGGTGCAGTGGCAGGGAGAAAAGCCTGCATTAAAAGGAGAATTGGTAGTTTGCTGTCAAATTTCAGGGACCATTTTGTGCTAAAAGAGATATTGCAGTTTGTTCACCTACCCAAGTTATAACCTACAAAAATGTATGTAAATGCATCACACAGTGAACTAGTTCACATGTTACAGATACACTCAGATACACTACTGCTTCACAGAGGCCACACAATGTGCACGTTACAGGACCTCAACATTTACACATAAACTTTTCTTCACAGGGACATTCCTGAGTTGTCATTTACAAGCAGAGATGAAGAACGCTTGGCTTGCATGACCCATTCATCCCAGCAACCCAGGAATTGATGCCATGTCATGAGAACCAGATCACTGATGAGTATGTTGTACAGATAAATACAAAATACTGAGAATCAGAACATACAGTTATTAATCACTGATACTATGTTATATTTCATTTGTCTGCTTCCATGAGTAGAAAGTGCTGGTGTTTACTATCTTGATTTGTCAGCCAGCTGTTCATATTGCACAGCAAAGAAAAGAATGAACCACAACACTTAGAGAAAGGAAAACCACCATGCATGTTGCACAGCTGAGCAATACAAAAATTCTTCCCCTTTCAATTCATATATATTTATTTATGTAGGTAGGTAGGTTAACTATATCCAGTCCGTCACATAAAATACAAAAAACTTCACATGTTCACATGTTACCTTGGATACAAGACTTGCCCTGTACGCAGCTAACTGCTTCAGATATTCCTTCTTAGCAGCTTCAGTTTTCTTTTTATATACCTGAAAAACAAGAAAGAACACCAAGTCAGCAACTGGGCACATTTTCCTTTAAATTAAAATCTCACACTTTATAATACAGATATAGTAACAACAACTTTGCATTTTTTTTCCTTTCACCCTCTACTTTTCATCTTTTACAGAAATGCATTTTTAAAAGTGGACACTTAAACTTTTAAAAGTAATGCTTATAGAGTACAAACCTACTTGGTGATTTTGCTCTGCTCTGACTGGGAAAAAATTAAGGAAGGTGTGGATTAGAAATAAAAAGTATTATTTCATCAAAGTTATGATAGTGTTCAAAGCATTAATACTTTAGACATATGATTTTAGAAATATTGTGTTTGTTTCTTTTTAGGGCAGTTTTTATGTTACTATACTTACTGGGGAAAATCTGCATATTAGTAGATCTATGGAGTGGGTTATGTGGACTGATTTGTGATCCACTTAGATCACTTAGGCAGTGTCTGTCTCCATGCCAAAAATTGCTGGGACGATCCATATGGCTCTCATGTATGATATCTACACTGTGCATTGTTACAAATAAACTTTATCAGCAATTTCCATGTGGTGGGCATGCCTGCTCGCTGATACATTTCCCCAGGAACAAAAGATACACTGTGTGTTTGCCAGGCTCAGTTCAAAGTGTTGATTTTAACATCAAAACTCTAAAATGGTTGAGGGTCTGGCTAGATAAGGGATTGCTGGTCTTCTTATGAACCTATCTATTAAAATCCGCAGAAGAAGCTCTTCTGAAGAAATTATTGCTCATCACAGAAGCCCCATTTGTTGGACACATTTGAAAAGGCTTTCTCTGGTATCACCCTCAGATTGTTGAAAGCTTTCCATTTCAAGACTTGATTTGAGCCCTCTCTCTTTTTGAAAAGTTGTTAAGAATAATTTCAGTCTAGCATTTTGTTGTGGTTGCTATATGCTGTCAAGCCATTTCCAACTTGTGGCAACCCTGTGAATCAACGCCTCCAGCTTCACATCTCTGTTTAGCTCTTGTACAAGGCTGTTGCCTCCAGTATGGAACTGGTCCATCTCATACTTGGTTTTCCACGTCTTCCTTTGACTATTCCCAGCATTATTGTCTTCTCCAGTAAGACTTGCCTTCTCATGATATGCCTGAAGTTTGTCAGCCTCAATTTTGTCATTTTTCTTCTAGGACAAGTTCTGGATTGATTTGATCTAGGACCCATTTGTTCCTCTTTCCATTGGTCCAGGGTATTCACAAAGCTCTCCTCCAGTGCCATTTTGAGTACATCAAAATCTGGCATTTACATTGCTTTTAATAATATTTTAATGTTTTACTTTTGTTTAATGTGCTGAATGTTTGGGTAGTAACTATTGACATGCAAATACAGAAAGGGATATCTTTGTATTGTCTTTCTTTATCCATCAGAATAGGTCCATCTACCTTAAGGTGCAATTTGCATGATCAGCTGAAGTGCCAGTTATCAAAAGATAGGATTGTTACCTAAAACACTTGTCTACACAAAAGGAAGAAATGATGGGTATTGCATTAATAACAATACCATGACAGTTGATTGATGATGACTATTTTACACCATGCTGTATAGAAATAGCTGCAGCAGTGGCTAAGATACCAAGTTATGCAATATCTGCAATTTAATTACAAGCTTATAATCATAATGCTTAAAATTAAAGCTTCTCTACAATAAATGCTTTTAGAGCCATGGCATGAGTAAATGTCATGATTCTGAATTATGGAATGAAGGCAAATTTATGTTTGATAAATACAACTGGAAGCCCATTGTCCACCTGTCCCCTACCAAAATCCGTTGCCCACCCATCTCACCACTGCAAAAACCCATCACTCCCTAATCAGCCTCCCAGCTGTTGCTGCCACTGCTGAAAACCCCTGCTCACCCTTTTTTCTTTTTCTCTTGGGAGCAGTGGTGGCAGCAGTCACTGAAACAATGCATGTCTTACCAAGCAATCTGAGCTCTTCAGATGCTGCCTTTGGGAGGGGTGGATTCAGCTGAGGAGGGCACAGGGACAATCTAAACCCCACCCGTGGCCTTATTGGCTATGTGCCTCCCTGAAAGACAACATCTGGTTTCTTTTGATTTAAGCTATTCAAAATGCAAGCAATAATGTCTCTTTTAGAATGGAGCATCTTTAGGCTTGGCCCTAACCTGTCTGTCCAACTATGTGAATGAGGAGGAGAAGAAAGTGGTGGCAGCTGCTGCAGCAGCTTCATGGGCAGGTACATGTCCTTGGCAGCCTATACTCAGCCCTGAGGCCAAGCCTTTCAGCCATCACTATACTGTTTTGCCCCCATACCTGTTTAGGTTTTTCCCTCCAGATTTTTTGTACTTCTGCAAATGCTGGCTCCTCAAGGTTGCTCAAGGTTGCTGATACCTCCTGTCTTGTCCATGGATATGTAGTAAAATAAACCCATCTTACTATGCAAGCAATTGTATGTATCTTTTAATAGGGGATTAACTATTATTACTGTTATTATTAACTGCTGTTATTAGCCACTTCTAATAGTTCTGGTCTTACGGATTTACACAGGCACAAACAAGGCAGGTAGATTCCTCATGAGCTTTGTCTAAAACAGGGAGTGGAGCAAGCAGCCAAGAAAAGAAGACCACAGTTACATGCACTTTGTAAAATCTGGGAATGCAGACTAAAGGAACAATCCAAGGATGATGAGGAAAAGATGAGTGTTAAGAAAAGACTTGGAGGAAGAAAGAAGGCCCCACTTCAAGTTCTTTCTGGGAATAGTTTTGATACCATATTGAAGTAGAAGCAGCCCAGCAGTTTCTATATCACTTGGAGCTGATAGAACAACCTACCTATTGATGCATTATGATATTCCAGATCCTGCCATACCTTTGATAATTACTGTTCATTCGTTTGCATTTGATAGGTACAGTGAGTACAGATTTTAAAGAATAAACATGCAGAAAAGCAGACTTCAGTTCTACTTCTGTCTCTGCTGCCCAAGACCCATAACAGAATATGTGGAACAGAGACTCATGCCTTCACACCATGGGTTTACCAGCTAGAGACCTTTGGAGCTGATCATGTCTTCAAAGGATGGCAAGGTCTGAGATAGGTGGAGAGCATTTAATGGGGAACATGGCCATTTGTGTGCATCCAACAAGGAGCTGTAAAAATAGATGCACAGGAAGAACAGTTTGCTGTCAGGCTAGCCACTGCCTCCACAATGGCTAGGGTGTTCCCCATCTGTGTATGAGAGTAAGATGCATTTCCTCTGCCTTTAAACTGATCTCTTTTGAATAAATCCCACATTATTTTAATCTAGAGCATGTACATGCACACATCCAAGCATATTTCCAAACTGCAGATTTATTTGTTAAGTGGTACCACATTATTCTTATAAAATGTTCTTCATATTATTCCATCAAAGCTGTGTTTTCAAGAGCATGCAGGTCCCTCTGATCTCTGCTGCTAAAACCCAGAGATTGCTTTAAAGGATTAAAGATTTTGCATCCCAGGGAAACATAAGATCATAATGGAAAAACAGGCATCCTAGGATACTAAAGCTGTAAATATCGAGAGAGGAATAAAAATAATAGATTGGTTCTAGCTGTGCAACGGCATGTGTGCATTCTTTTGCAATTTCTTCAGATTACAAAGCTGAGCTCATTTTGTTTCAGAAAGGATTTATAACAAGTTGCGTTTCTGGGCTGATTGTTTGTGGTATTGCTAAAACGTATTGTTTGTTTCAAGAAAATGAAACACCCATTAGTTGACCCTTCCCCCGGGCCTCACAGCTAAAATTAAATTTCCCTGACCTTAGAAAGGCAAGACTGTAAATTTTAGTCTGAATACATCTGCATAATTTTGTTATTTTATTTTCAAAACCAAAACAGAGTCCAATAAGAATAAAAGATCATGGATATCACAGATTTATTCCTGATACTTTTTATTTCTAAATCCAATTAATGGTAGTGCTACAGAACTTTGTATGCAAGTACAATTATGGTTTCCTATCATATACAGATATCATGCCATTATTTCCATCCAATCATACGTACCATCCTGTATGGAGCATTTCTAGGTATTTCCTAGCTTAGTTTTAAGATTGTGTTGTAAGAGGTCTTATAGGTTAAATATGAGAACAGATCATAATGACATTACCACTAGAGTTAGAACAATCTGGAAGGCTCAACCTAGGTTCAAGTCCCAAGAATCATACATTATGTGAAAAATTCAAAAGGTCATATTTGGGTAATACCTTTATTTAACCAAATCAAAAGCCTTGTATAACAAAACATGACTATTTCTGAGATCTCCAGATCCCTTTGTCAGACAGGATAATGCAAAAACACCCATGTTAGAGGGGACGATGGGGGGAACTAACCTGATGGTGAAGTCATGGTATTTGCAGAGCCAGAAGCTCTATTCAAGTGCTCTCAAAGCTAATGGTTAAAAATGTGAGAAGAGAATGTGGGCAAGACTTGCCCCTTTCATCATTGCTTTTGTCACCTTCCACACATGAAAGGCAACTCTGGGAAGGGGAGAGTGCTTGTATCCTTAAGGAATCACCATGTGATCTACCATGCTCATCTTGCAGTATTCCTAATCACATGGGGAGTTCCCACAGAAAGAGGAGGCTACTTTCATCTGCACAAAATCTTCCCCTGCATGTAGAGGATAGGGAGAACAGTGATGGAGGGGGTTTAACCAATGTTTTGCTGAAATGCTTGAATAGGAATATTCTGGAAGACCATGCAGGCATTTAAACTTTGTTCTATCAAATGATACATTTTTGGGTTTTGGTGCCTCTAATTCCATTATGAACAAGAAGGTAGTAGACAGTTATGTGATAACTTGACTTGACACTTGATGCAATATTTGCAATGATGAGCTATTACCTTTTCAGAAGTCATGCCTAATTGTCCTTCCAAGATGTTTTGTAAGGCAAAATTGCAATCAAGCTCCTTCATCTTTGTGACAATATGGACTAGAAAAAGAAACCCCTAATCCAGGGATACCCAAAC